CATCTTCACCTCTCGCTCTTCTGTACTTTCTCTCTTAAGGCCGGGGGCGGCGCCGCCGGAGCACCACGAAACGCAGTGCTCTGCGGAGATCGTGCGTGTCGAGGGCGCGGTGCAACCCTCTGCGGAGATCGTGCGTGTCGAGGGCGCGAAATACAGGCGAGAGTGTGTTTTGGCCCGGTCCGGCGCAACCCTCTGCGGAGATCGTGCGTGTCGAGGGCGGGAAATGCAGGTGAGATTACGTTTTGGATTTGTCCGGCGCAACCCTCTGCGGAGATCGTGCGTGTCGAGTGCGCGAAATGCAGGTGAGATTGCGTTTTGGATTTGTCGCGGGCAACCCTCTGCGGAGATCGTGCGCGCCGAGGGCGCGAAACGCAGGTGAGATTGCGTGTTGGATTTGTCCGGCGCAGCCCTCTGCGGAGATCGTGCGCGTCGAAGGCGCGAAATGCAGGTGAGATATCAGAAGTGGCCAGTTTGTAGTGCAAATGTAGTAGGGGAAAGAGCTTTTCGGAGCTGGACTCAGAGGTGGCCATTTTGTAGCGCAAATGCAGTGCGGGAAAGAGCTCTTCGGAGCTGGACTCGGAAGTCATGCCTGGCCAGTCTGTAGTACAAATGTAGTACGGGAAAGAGCTTTTTGGAGCTGGACTCAGGGAGCGCGAAACACGCTGGCGTAAACGCGGCGTGTCGCTGGTGAGCGGGATGATTGGCGGTATCGTGTGATAGGATTGCTTCTAGTGTGTGGGCAGACCGTGTGGCGAATTACGTCCGTGATGTCGCAGTGCCATGCGGATTTGCGCGGCCTGGGTGGGAAGTGTGTTTGCGCGGCGCCGTGCCACTGGGGAGCGCGAAACAGGCTGGCGTAAACGCGGCGTGTCGCTGGTGAGCGGGATGTTTGCGGTATCATGTGACGTGTTTGCTTCTAGTGTCTGGGCAGACCGTGCGGCGACGCGACGTTGGTGATGTCGCAGCGCCGTTGGGATTTGCGCGGCCTTGGTGGAAAGTGCGTTTGCGTGGCGCCGGGCCACTGGGGAGCGCGGAACATTCTGGCGTAAACGCGGCGCGTCGCTGGTGAGCGGGATGATTTGTGGTATCAGGAGTGTCTCAAAAGAGTGCCCCACAAGAGCTTCCTACAAGAGTGACCCACAAGAGTGTCCCAGAGAGAGTGTCCCACAAGAGTATCTTGACACGCTCACATCTGCAGATCTACCTCTCCACCTCCACACATCTGCACATCTATATCGCACCTGCGCACCCACACTGTCACTCCTTCACATCCGCCCTCTCTTTCTCTCTTTCTGCTTCTAGTGTGCTCTGTACATTTACATCGCCACACGCTCACATCCGCAGATGTACCTCTCTACCTCCACACACCCACACATCTCACATCTGTACATCCACACTGTCACTCCTTCACATCCGCCCTTTCTTTCTTTCTTTCTTTCTTTCTTTCTATATGTCCTTTCTCTGACCTGCGTAGATTTACATCTTGACACGCTCACATCTGCAGATCTACCTCTCCACCTCCACTCATATGCACATCTATATCGCACCCGCGCATCCACATATCTTTTTCTCTTCGCATTGTAAATCCAACTTCTTCGCAACTTCTTACTCAATAACAGATTGTATAAAGAAGTCATGACTCTTGGACAACTCGATTATATTTATTTCATGACTCGACAGTGCTGGAGAATCACCTACGTCTACACACCCTGACCTCTGTACATTTACAATCTTCACACGCTCACATCCGCAGATCTACCTCTCCACCTCACCACACCCACACATCTGCACATCTATATCACATCTGTACATCCACACTGTCGCTCCTTCACATCTGTCCTGTCTTTCTTTCTTTCTTTCTTTCTTGCTACATATCTTTTCTCTTCATATTTTAAGTCTAATGTCTTCGCAACTTCTTTTCCAATAACAGATTGTATAAAGAACTCATGGCTCTTGGACAAGTCAGTTTTTATTGTTTCATAACTCGACAGTGCTGAACAATCACCTGTCTCGCTCTCGGGCCAACCGTCGTCTAGTTTGCACTCTTCACGTTGCTGAATTTGAAGGTTTATCTTTGCCGATGTTGGCAGTTCAGGTGGCAGATTGCATTGCGCGTATGATTACGCGCCTGCGCCATTCCTCTGCTCAGCGCAGGGAAACGATAGGAAACTCAACAAGGTGCAGTATCGGTGGGGGAGGATGCTCTTGGGTATTCGCGAAACCTTGGTCAGGGCACAAGGTGGCTGGCAAACGCCGCGTTTGATCGTATCTGCCATCCACCATCTTCGGCAACGATCAGTTCTCTTTCAGAAACATGAGCATGGATGAGCGCGTGATAGCCGACCAGTGCAGAATAATTGGTGGTGATAGCCCTGCTGGCCCAAATAATAATTAATAATAAGTAATTTCAGCCGCTATAACTTTTCCATTGCGCCAAAAACTTGGTTGGACCAGGTTTGACAAAGCAGCAGGAAGGTTCCAGCTGGCCTGAGCTACGGCTCTTTCCAGCCATCTAGTAACCCAGCTTTGCAGCCCAACAGCAGGTAGCAACTCAATTGACTGGAACTCTCAAGCCCTCCGACCATGCGTTGCTAAAGCTCCAACGCAATTCCAATCGATTTGCGAAATGCAAGGGAAACTGGAGAGCAGGAACTGGTGAACAAAAACAGGAGCAGGAACTGCGGTCCGGGGCAGGCAGGAGGAAAGCCTATCAGAACAAAAACGATCAAAAACGCCGTTCCCAGCACAAAGTGGCGCTAGGTACGCGCAAACACCCGATGTCCTTCCCCGCGCAAAGAAGTGTTGCTAGGTACGTGCAAGCACCTGCCGCGCTGTTGGCCCTACTAAAGCTACTGCGAAGAAAAAACTGTAACATGAACAAAAAGCAAATCGCAAACGCAACGGCGCGCAAACATCATGCCTTGCTAATGCCTGTTGCCTTGCTGCCCATAAATAAGTGTGTTCTACATGGCAGCTGTTAGCATCCGACGCGCGCAATCTCCGCACGGGGTCACGTTTTCAAGACCTCTCCGGCCAGGGCCCCAGCTATAAAGAATAAAGATAGAGCGCAGAGATGCGTCACGCATGTGCAACATCAGATACAAATTACTCTATGTCATAATTACTTGATTTTGCACATCAGCTTACTGAAGCAAAACTACAGCAAAAGTTACCGAAGCAAAGCCCCAGCTCAAAGCAATTCTAGCCACCTCCGTAGCAGCAGCTCTGGAAAACCACGCCCGCAAGCTACAGATGTACTTGTGGCGTACCGACAATCGCAGATATACAAGTCTGTTGAACGTCGTATTGATATTTTGCAACACCGGGAACAAAATAATTTACTCCTCGACATGGGGAAATCTTGCGTCGGCGCGTGCATGCAACCAAGTTGCCACGTCAGGTTCCCTCCTGTCACTTCCAATAAAGACTCCAGGATAATCGCAAGTCCTACAGGGCGTCGACGTGACTTAACCCTGGTCCCTGATTGACAGCAGCAAACAGACCAGCGTCAAACTTGCCCATCCTGCCTCTTCGCACCTGGTGCGCAGAACGCGCGTGCTCGCGCGGCGCGCAGGTTTGCCTATGCTTTGCACGTGGCGCGAAACCATGTCTTGCTTCGCGAATGTCAAACAAACACTCTTTATACCAAGTATCTTCGCGGTATACGCGGCGGTGCAACTCTTCGGCGGCGTTCTTGCCGAACTCCTTGGCGAGATCTTCAAGCGTAGCTTCCTGCAAGTCTACCGCCAGGCCGGTGATCCAAGCGCAAAATGCCCGGCTGAAAAAGAGAGCGGGTGGTCATGGGGCCTGGGTTTTGGTTTCCCAAAATTTTAGGTAAATATGAACATATATATTATGTATTCCTGAGCCAGGGTCATTTTATTGGTTTGGAAGCAGCAATCAATCGTTCAGATGGTTTTGAAAAGATGATTAGGAAAGAAGCAGGCCATAAAAGTGTCAATTTTAACAATTGCCCTCTAGATCTCTGCTTATAATTATGTTTAGATTTGGACAGATTGTATATAGACGCTTTTATGTTATAGAAGGATCTCTATAGATCTCTGCAGATAATCATTTTTAGATTTAAAACTATATAGAAACCTTGTATGTTAAACGCTTTCTTCTAGATTTCTGCAGGTAAGAGCTTGCATTTTCAAAACTTCCCTCTGGATCTCTGGGAAAGTAGATATCCCATGTTTGTGTGTTTTCATGAAAGGAAAACCCTTGAAAGCAAGACTTGTTTATTGATACATAGCATGTTTGAATTGGCATGACCATTTCCAGAGATCCAGAGGAAAGCTTTTGAAATGCAAGCTTTTACATATTTTTTTGTAGAAATGATCATCCCCAGAGATCTAGAGGGAAGCTCTTGCATTAGAAGCTTGTACATAAAACATTTTTAATGTCTGTATTATCTCCAGTGATTACTGTAAATAAATAAATCTAACTATTTACTCAAAAAGAGTTTAAGTCTTGTTCCCAGCACTCCTAGGGCAAAAAAATACTGTAAAACACGGGGTTTTGCGGCGTGTGTTTTCTTAAACTAAATAGACTAGAGCTAGAATAGAACTTGAGGCCAGAGGGGGTGAACGAAAGCTAGCCGGGCCGGGTCGTCTGCTGCTGCTGCTGCTGCTGCTGCTG